AACGAACATCCAGACAAAGCTTACGCTACCATCCACATCATCTGGATTCTCGGCTGTGCGATTTACTAGAAGTTTTCTTCATCTAAGAAACGAACTTACACCGTTTTAAAAGAACGGCAACGCACCTACAATCCCCCTGGTGCTGCAGTTGTTCATGGACAGCGGTCAAAACTTACCACCAGGTGAGCCGCATGCTTATTTGCCCCCACTTCTATAAAAAAAGTACAAGACTAATACAACATTGTAAATTTCCGTGTGTCACAATAGAGTGATGCGCAGAATTTACTCTGTATCCTTGCATTTCATTATAAGTAACTAGCTACTGTAGTAACAAATGAATGCATGCAAGGGACTGTAGAGAAAAAAGACAGTAGGGTTGTCACCCCTGAGTACTAAGATAAAATACCTCACAGCCTGTTATTGTACTGACTCTTTCTGGAACTTCTGTACTCCGAAATGTATTTCCTATCTTTATTTTTAATTTTGCGCTTCGTTCAGAGCTAGTTTAGCTCTGAGCGACGCTAGCAAACGTTTGTTTTAAGTTCGAAGGCATATTTGTTTCCTACGGCTTCATTTAACTTAAACTTTAATCGCCACAGTCAGATAAGTGAGCCATTTCTTAATCATTTTAAAATTTATTAGACGGTTCTGTAGCGGTGAAGCTATTGAGTTGCAGCGCTGAGAGCCGCAGGTTTGGATCCCGCACGGAACGAGTATTTGTATGGCCTACAAATAATTGTTCCGAGTCTGGATGTTTGCCCTTAAGCAACTGATGTACATATGTAAATTGCCACCAAGATACAGGACGAAATGGTAGTGTGGGGGTTAAAAACTCCAAAACTCTAAAAATATAATATAAGTGAGACGAGAATATTTGTAGTATCGATATCGGTATACAAATATACAAGTATTTATTGTATATATTGTATGTATATGTATTTATTCATATTATGTTTGTTACATATATGTGTATTTATTTTAGAGTCTTTTTTATTTGCTAGAATATGCTTTTATGCATAAAGTACGCCCTTTGTATCTTTCATAAAGGAATCCAATAAGGATTGAAAATTAATAAATAAATGATAATCATTTATAAGGATCGTGACACTTGGCGATCTGTTCTCTCTGGCTACCCCGTCAGGGATTGTGCGTGAAGATAAGTAAGTAAGTAAGTATAATCATTTTGCCATGTAACTGAAAACACTAATGCAAGAATACAAGAGCATTTAACAAATTTCAAACTCCTATCAAAAACGAAAGGTTGTCACATTTGTGACAGGATAAATGAAACTCTTTCCCGTAAATCTGTTTTTTGTGCGCTCAGTCCGTGTCACGTACATTCGTCGCTTAATCACCATTTATAGGGGACATATACAAATTGATTATCTTTTGTTACTTTGCTCCAATGGAATTATAAAGAGAAATGAATGAGGTAGGTATATAAAAGAAAATGTCACTGGTTAATTTATATATAATATGTCGCTGGGTTTAATAAAACCAGGATTAGTATAGGGTTATGATGAAATGAATATTACTCGCAATCGAAGCGCGGTTTTTTCACGCTGTTTGTGCAGTCAAAAGAGGTTATATCAACGGAGTCGGTTAAGGTGTGACTAAAGTGGCGGCCTTTGAGCCACCCGTAAGCCGTGAGTGTTCATATTATTTATACATTATTACTTATTCATCTTCGAATCACTTAATTTATACATTGTAAATAACCGTTGCCGCTATTATTATGATCAACGCCCATTTCTTAATGATTGTTCCTTCTTAAGTAATTCTGTTTAATATCTTTATTACTTGTACAACAAATTTATAAAATATAAGTTCGAACTGTAAAACTATGTCTCAGGAGAGACACAGTTTTACAGTTCGAGGAGCAATCCATTCATTGAAATATATGTTGTATCATTTATTTAATTAAATACATGGTATGCAGTGTATTTAGAACACATATTATCTTTAATTTGCATTATTTTTATGTAAGACTAAAAAGAAAACAAGTCATGTGATTGTATATTTATCTTATTTAATACCAGCTTTTTTCTGCGACTTCATCCGCGTACTTTAAACTATAGGTGTTCCATCAATAATCACACTTTCATAGTGAATTCCATCACCCTGTGTAAAGTTATCCAAAATATATTTTTATCAAACTTATCAAGCGTTATCACTTAATCACCCCCTTATTGTATGTACAACCCCGAACAATAGCCTATGTGTTGTTCTAGTGTATGAGTTATATTATTGTAAAGTTTCATTAAATTACATTCAGTAGTTTTTGCGTAGAAGAGTAACAAACATCTATATATTCATACATCCTCACAAACTTTCACGTTTATAATATTAGTAGGATAGCCCAGTAAATTTAAGTACACGGTACATCACGTAGTAAAATGTAATAACCATATACAAGATGTAACATTTTATCTTAGAAGAAGAATAATGAAGAGGATGAAAGTTCATGTTATGGGGCTGTAGAAAAATTGTACTCGGTGACTTGAAGTTGGTACTTTATACTTGGGACTATAATTCCAAATTTTTTTGTTTTATTGATGATTATTTTATTTATTGTAGATTTGTTTTGATTTTGTTTGCTTTTTTCAACGCTGTTAGCCTATGCGGCTGTCACAGCTTGTGTGGCGTCAGGGCTTAAAAAGATGATTTTGTTATTCTGCATCGTTATTTGCGTAACGATGTTCATCGGTGTTCGATACGGCTTGTTATTATCCGATTTTTTTTCCTTTTTTTTAGTAAGTGACTACCGGCGCCCATGAAAACCGCAACACCAAGAGAATTGCACATGCGTTGCCGGCCTTTTAGAAAGGTGTAAGCTCTTTTCTTGAAGGTCCCTAACTCGTATCGGTCCGGAAAAATCGCATGTGGTAAGCAATTCCACAGAGAAATTGTACGAGAAAGAAAATTACTAGTAAAACGCACAGTCGTGGACCGCCAAGCATCCAGCTGGTGAGGATGGTATCGACTGCCCCAGGACTGCCATAGTGCCCATGGCAAAATCTGTAGCTCTGTAAACGGCTTGATGGATTTTAACTTATGAGGTGTTATTAGATTTAATTAATTTTGGGAGTGATATAAGCTATATAATATTCATATATTGCATCTTTAAGTACTAAGAAAAGGGTGGGGACGTTTTTATTTTCAGTAAACTTTTTAACGCAGTCGGGTTTTTCAGTGTTCCGTAGTTAAACAACGAGGAATATATATTCTTATAGTTTCCATGTCTAAGGTTTTACTCAGAAACCCTAGTTGCTACAAATCTGTAATTTTGCAAAGTTAAAGAGAATTTTATTTTGAGTACCTCCCATACAGATAAAGGGAGGATGATTTTTTTTATCCATCTATTCAATCATGGGGTGTCGTTGGATGGGTATTTCAAAAATATCGGGGGTATGTACAACATTTCTTCAATTCAGGGTCCGTTTGCGAAATATTTAGCTTTAAATTGGTATTGTTAATAGAATCATTGTCCACCATCTACCAACGAAACCCCTGTCTTTGGAAATATGATAAGTATGCACGATAGTAGGACATATCAAAAGCAAAATAATTTTTTTTTTAAAAACCCACGATGGATGTCAAAGTTGTAATCGTAAAAGGAATAAATATTTTTTTTGGAAAATGCCAGACTAAAAGAAAGTAGAATTTTTTCATGAAAAACAAAAACGAAAAGCCTTTCAAAAAATGTTCATTTTTTGCGATGCCTGTCATAATAAACATCTAATTAGGAGTTTCCGTAGCATTTCCTACCTTTGTGTACATATTTGTTAGTCGTAGCGATAAACATAGCAATAACATCAAATATAATATGTACTTTTTTTATAGGATAAGGGTAACAAACCTGATGGTAACTAGATGCTATGACCCATAGACATTTACATTTGTCCGCGATTAAAAATCAAAATTCAGATTCGTTGTCACCCTTAAGGTCTAAGATAGAATGCCTTATGTCTTATGTCACTTGAAAAACCTAGTAAGTTGTCATGTCAGGGAATCAGATTATTTAACAGAAAGGTCTACGTACTTATTTTACCTAATAATTGTCTACTTTAATATTTTATCTATTTTTCATTCATGAATGCTTGCTACCTCAATACAAGAATGTCATTTTACTCAAATACTGGCTTCAAAAAATGTCAAGTTGGAAAAAAATATGTTGACAATTTCAAATCTTCTAGTCGATATCCTACAACTGTTTCGAGTTTTTTTTTCCAAATTTTTTGCAAAGTAACGATGCTTTCTTACTCGAATATTACGATATGATGTTATGCGTAGGCCATGAAGATAGTAATTTAAATCGTGCTCGCAAACTGTATCGGCAACGATTTATCGATGGTAGACCCCCACGAACAGCGACGGCTGCCTTCGTACTAGTGTTTTCTGAACATGTCAAGACGATTACATTCCACCGGCTCATTTCTTCGGTCTACTGAAAGTGGCAGCACAGTCAAGGCCAGGCAGGCTAAATTAGTGTTAAAGCATTTTGAAGAAGAGCCCACCACAATTACGATGCGAGCCGGAACAAGATTCGGTATAAACCATGTTGCAGTTTGACGAATTATTCGTGACAACAATTGTCACCCTTATCACGATAGTGATAAGGGTGACAATTGTACACAGATTTTGCACCCAGGAGGAACTTCTGCGAGTGGTACCTCAGGCAGTTAGAGGAACACCCTAATTACGTAAACTATGTTCTTTGAACGGGCGAGGCAACAATCACGAGGTCAGGACTTTCAAATATGCATAACGATCACGTTTGGCCTCGCGTGAATCCACATGCTTCACGGCAGGGTAGATTCTAACACCAGTTGCGGCTGAATGTGTGGGCTGGCCTTTATGACGGGCATGTCATCGGTCCCGTCATTATGCCATCACGTCTGAACGGTAGCAATTATCTAACGTTTTTACAAACGGAATTCGAAGAGGCGATTGACGACTTTCCTTTGGCTAACTGGGATTACTTTGAGAACCAAAGAAATATGGTGTTTCAGCATGATGGAGCTCCGGCACATTTTGCTCGCAACGTACGAGAACATCTTAACGTTCGCTTTCCGCGAGGATGGATCGCCCGTGGGGGACCGGTGCTATGGCCTGCTCGTTCTCCGGACCTCACACCCTTGGACTTCTTTTTGTGGGGTTATGTGAAGGAAAGAGTGTATTTCTCCGATTGCCCAACGGTTGCCGAGAAGGAGCAGCGTGTTAGATCGGTTTTCGCATCAATAACACCGACGATGGTGCGAAATGCCACACAAGCCATATCCCGACGAGCGAGGTTTCGTATTGAGCAAGACGGAGCACACTTTGAGCCGTTTCTGTAAATTTGACGTTTATTTTGAAAAAGTAAGTGTTCGTTTAGGTTATTTCGTTAGGTTAGGTCTTTTAAAATTTTTGTCATTCCGCGAATTATGTAGAAATGTAGGTACATTCTACGTAGTTTACTGTTTAATTTTACTGAAATAGGGTTTGCACATCAGTGAAAATATTAATATTATTTTTTTTTGGGTATGTTATACAGTGTTACTACGGTTCTTAAATATTGTGGATGGACTCGTTATAAGGCCCCATTTAACCTCCTTTCAGCTTTACGGGTAGTTTTGTAACAGTCTGTATTTGTAACAGTCTGTATTTGCATATATTGCATACGTACAATCTGTATTGCTTAATGGAATTGTTACATAGTACTATGACTGAAATAATATATTATTGCAGGAAGTTCTTTGTAAGAGACTTATTTTCAACCTTATCACTTTTATTTTTATTATTACTTATAGTATAGTTATTACTAATAATAAATTCCTATAAAAAGTATGTTTGTTTGTTGTGGTTGGGAGTCTTACAAAGTGTATACGAAAATAGTATGAATATAGTAAATGGCAACACTTGACTAGTGCAAAAACATTAAAGTCATTTGATACTCCCAAAAATGTATGTTTTTTGCGTGGTTCTAATTACAATACATTTTTATTTGAAAAATCATAGAAAAATAATTAACCTCTTTTTATATATAAGTTATTTCTGGACGCAATCATTTTTGTCAACCATTTTTCTGCCGTTGTTAAAAGACCTTTTCTTCCTTCCAAATTCCGTTACAATCAAAGTGAAAGAATTAGAACCCCCCACTGTTACAGAACACGGACTTTAATGAAAGCTAGTAACGATCGCGTTCGTTATTTCCACGACCCCAATTTATTCCGAACAGTTAAATTTTATTGGTAGGGATAGTGATTAACGATTTTTTAAGTGTGAGGCAAAGTGATCAAGAAGCGTGAAGCCTCGATAACAACATTACAAAAAAAAAGTAAAAGACATTGCCCAATTTTCTATTACTTTTTTTGTGGAATGGTGGTGATAGCCCAACTGATCCGTACGCTGAAATGACAGTGGGCCGGCCACATAGCTCAAAGAACCGATAGCCGATGGGAAAGAATTTATGATGCAGGTGGCTCGGGACCATACTGCCTGTGGGCCTATGTTCTTGTTATAGGTGTCATAATGATGATAGTAGTGGCTTAAGAGATCCCATCATCCGGGGTATCCTAAATGTACAATTTATGCAATAGGAAAAAAGATCATCGACTCCTGTAAATTTTTGTACATTTCGTATTCTGTACTAATTTTTTTTTTATTAAGACTTAATTGCTGATACTAAACAATGTAAATTATTTTAATATAGTAGATGATTGTTTAACTTACTAATAGTCTATAATATCGTATTTCCCAGTTTAGTAGTCAACGTGTCCTGTGACACATAGGTCTCTTCCAGCTTTTTTCATTCTTCTGTGTGGTTAGCTTTTCTTGACCAGGTTGTCCCTCCAATAATCTAGATATCATCTGTCAATCTTTTTGCTTGTCTCCCTCTTTTTATTTTGCCATCACGGGGCTGCCATTCCGTTATGATTTTCGTCCATTTTATCCTGCTGTCTCTTGTCATGTATCCTATCTATCGCCATTACAACTATTTAATTTTCTTTATTATGTCTTCGACCTTTGTAGTAGATCTAATCTTCTGCTCTTTTGCGGTCTTTTATCGTCACGCCCAACATATTTCTTTCGGTTCCCCTTTGACATGTTCTCAGTTTAAGAAGATGTTTTTGAATGTCAAAGGGGAATTGAAAGAAGTATGTTGGGCGTGATGTATTCTGTACTAATGTTAATCAAATTTAAAAAAATGTGATTTGTGTGGTGTGTGTTGTGGAAGAGTGTGTGTTTTCCACATACTTGTGCGTTGCAGTTGCAACAGAAATACAACATGAAACTGAAGATGAGAAGCCCACCTAGTTTAGGTGTCTTTGTAGTGAGTGTGAACGCAGATAGTATGACGTTTTCTTAATAGTTCTTTTGTATGAATTGTTTTATGCAAGAATTTTAAGAAAACATCACACACATCTTTTTTTATGTCCGTGACGCAATGGCTTAGCGTTGAGTTGCAGCGTTGATGACTGCGGTTCGAATCCCGCACGGAAAAAGTGTTTATATTCCCTAGAAATAATTGTTCCGGTCTATACTCGTGTCCCCGTAGTGAGAGGAGGCACACTTTCATTTTATTGATATTTAAAAGAGAAAGATAAATAAGAACACCGATAAAATGTCTAATTATGATGAACGATGAATCAGAGAGATGAGATTTAAAGCTGGTGTTCCGAGAGAGCATTGTACGTTGCCGGACGTGCCGACCCATTGATGATTTACAATTCTACTTTTATGTTTCACAGTTCAAACTCTAAATAGTGTATTAAAATTTAGTACGATTCTCCTTTGAGTCATTTAACTTCCACGTTCGCGAACTTGTAAAGGGTTTGTAATAATAATATCGTGAATTGTAATGATAATGGATGCCGCCATGAGGGTCAAAAATGGCTTATCTGTAAATAGTCTCCTTATCGAGTCAGCTGGAAAGTAAGAAGTTTAAATAATGATTTCTTATATTTACGCGAACACTCCACATTGAATAAAACTACTTTTACGGATTCGATTGCATTTAATTAACTTATTTTAATTAATTCCCGACGATTCGGGTGCTTCACAGCACCCATGGTCACGGGGGACTGAGGTGATTGACGTCCCGATGTCAGAGTTAACTGGGGAGTACCTTCGACTTTTTTAATTATTACTTTTGTTCTGATCTACGCAGAATGAACTTACTGTGTCTTGAAATCTTGCAGTGGTATACTTGGGTTTAGTTTTAATTTTATTAATTACAAGATCAATTTTATAATCATTAATTATTATATTATTATTTATTAAATTTCAATCTTTAAAATATTAGATCAATTTTTTTATCAGATAGATCACAATTTATATGATTCTTCTAGTACTCAATTCTAATAAATAACTCAAAGGTAATTTTTCAACAGTCTGATAAAAGTTATCCATCAAATAAATTATAGCCTGACTGAATATAAAGGTGAAACAATGGGAATGTTTTATTAATACAACTGTAATCTTTTATTTGATTGTTATACTTTATACTATGAATAAATATTATCGGAAGGTTGCAAAGTCGGACCTTAATAAATAATTTTTGTAACTGAAGTCAGAATACGTTTCCTTATCCCTTTCAATACACGGTGTTATCGGAGTTTCACTGAATCAAAATGTCGCCCTCAAGCTTCTTGTTATATGAAAAGCAATAATCATTTTCATAAATATGACCGCAGTTTCTCTTGTATATATACTGTATACTCCATTGCGTTATATGTACTACGTACTAGAGAAGCCATTCCGAACATTGACTATGTTCAACTGAACTGTAGTGCAATCCATACAAACTAAATATTGCGTAAATTGAATATTTGTGAATTCCATAAAATAATTATTATTACATTTTATTTAGAAATATGTTTGTTTAGATTAAATTAAGATATTTTATATTAAATTCTTATATATATATATATAAATATATATATATATATATATATATATATACATATATATATATATATATATATATATGTTACAAATAGAAACACGAATTGACTTTATTTAAAATATTTTAATGGCCTTTGGCCTAACAAATATTAACTAACTTAAAAGCTTAAAACAAGGTTCAAAATAATGACGCTAGTATTCGAGCAAAGCTTCCGCACTCCGTGATGACCGTCGGCAAAAAAGGGGCGAGTGACGCCAGCCGCCCTCCTATATAGCCCGGCGCGGCGTCGTCAGACCTTCTCTTCTAACACGGCCTCTCCTGACGGGGCTGCGTGCTCGAAGCCCTCAGCAGGAACTTGTGGATGGCTCAGCAACACTCACCGCGTCCCGCGGTTGTTCGACGTCACCATCGTCGATCTCTGAGAAGATACACACAATCTAAGAGACACTTATTTATATCGCGTATTAACAGTTGATCAAAATTCATATAGTTCATAAAAGCGTCAGATTATGTACCCAATTAGCCAAACAAGTCAGTCAGTCAAAACAGTCAACATGAACAGTTATCAACGCCACACAAAAGCGTTTCAAGTCACATAGGTTTTACACAGGTCTCTTCCCACGCAACCGAATACCCCGCACATACTCGCGTGTGCAAACAGGATTTACATCAGTCTCTAGCAGGTCACCCCAGATACCTAATAATGGCTGGATTTACACAGGTCTGTTGTCGGCTGCGCCACCGACTCACCCCAGAAACCACCAGTGTCAGGGTCAACCCAATACCATGCGCACAGGATTTATACGGGTCTCTTCCACTGAACACAACACGTAACGTAGTCAAAATCAATAAACACGGGCTTGTTTGGTACATAATCTAGCTCAAGAATAGGGAAAGATTATCTTCTCGATTGTCACAGCACCAACACACGACCAAGCGCATTCGCCGCGGCACCTCTGAAGGAACTCGCGCGATCGCGGTACGTGTAATCAGATTTGCGATTTCTGCAGAAGTCCCGTATGAGAGCTATAAACAATGCATACATCGTTTGAGTCATTATAAAATAAGCTAACGAATTACATACGAATCAGGACAGCTCCCTTCGTAACACATTATCAATTCTATTTTGAAATTGATGTAATCGAGCTCCTCCTACTTCAATACACATAGGTCGTTACAATCATAAAAGCAAACCTTTATTCGACAAATATTTTACTTTACCCACTTAAAACATATTTAACATAAATCCATAAAAATAACATAGCTCTTGACACATGTTTTTTTCACCCCACAAGCTCTACGATAACATGCCTCACTTAAATGACCCGATAAGGTAAGTTTTGGGTGAGTTTAAGTCGAGAGTCGAGAATACTGCAAATTAAGTGGTTTATGTAATAATTTATGTCCCGTTTGGGTTCACATTCTTATCACAAACATAGTTTTAACTTT